GACAACGAGCGAATCCTAAGCTTTCACGACCCCCGATCGAGGACTCTTCTCCTAACTACCAGCCGCCTCTTGAGCTCATTGAACACGGTGGATGTGCTTCACGCAGACGCCACATACAAGACGGCGCCGCGTAAGATCTGTAAGCAGCTCTTTACGCTGCATGGGAATCGGGACGGCCACGTAGGAATGATAGCGTTCGCCCTGATGAACCAAAGTACCGCAGAGGCGTATGTGTGGGTGTTACAATGTTTGAAAAGCTGCGTGCCAAGCCTTGAGATACCAGCCTACATGGGTGATTGGGACTCCGCAATGCGCGCAGCTTTTCACTCGGAGTTTCCCCACGCTGCCCTCTACGGTTGCTGGTTTCACGGGACTGGCGGCTGCGATACGCCGCCCGGGCGAAATCCTCTCGAAGTTCCTGCCTCTCTTGGCCCTCCCTCTACTCCCAGCGTCGTTCATTGAGAAAGCTCTCGAGAACTTCGCCCAGGCCGCGCAAGACTCCCACATGGGCTTCCCCAAGCTCTTGAAGTATATCAAATCTCATTGGCTCCGAACGATTGGTCCCGACAAACTCTCGGTCTACAGGTTGAACCAAAGGACAAACAACGACGTTGAGAGCCATAACGCCAAACTATTGAGGCAGGCTCGACGCGTCCATGGTTCAGCCTGGAGCATCCGGTGCACCCCATTTGGGCGCAGCCGTTTGGGCGCGGCTGTTTGGGCGCGGGCCATTTGGGCGCAGGGCCGTTTGGGCGCCGAGCCGTTTGGGCGCGAGCCGTTTGAGCGCGGAACTTACTGCGCTTCGGTTTTGGATTGTGACCTCTAGCATCTATCTAGCACCTATCTAGCATACGGAGCGCCCCATTTGGGCGCGACTGTTTGGGCGCGACCGTTTAGGCGCGGCTGTTTGGGCGCGACCCATTTGGTACGTCTCCGCCGATGAGCGAATTCTCAAAGTTGTGAGAGAACTCGGTCAGAGGACCACGGTGGACTACTTGCGTGGGCTGGCACGGAATTTCAGGATGCAGGCATCGAACAGCGGACCGCAGACTGCCCCTGAATCGCCGGAGTCGGAGTAACGTGACACGTCTAGGCCTCGCAAGTCCAAATGTCAATACGTATAGATAAGCCTTAAGACTCGCTCATCCCGAATAGTATGGTATGAGCGGAGAATTCACAGACCTAAGTTAAAGAATGGGATGCACCTCCGACGCCGTCCGTGTTCGTATCGAGCGCATTTTTTTTATTCGCCAAGAGCATGATAATCTTCATACGCAGATGGATCCACTCAGAACTCATGATTCGCTCTCGGAAGCCAACGGGGAAGTATTTCCGGCGTTTCCGTCTAGTCGTAATCCAGATTGTCGTTTCACTGGAACCGAGCGATTGGGACGAGAATTGGTGATGAACCGTAAGCCGTTCACCGGACAACCAAGACTTCCGCGAGCAAACAATTGTGCGCCCAAATGGCTCGCGCCCAAACGGCTCTGCGCCCAAACGGCTCTGCGCCCAAATGGCTCGCGCCTGAACGGCTCTGCGCCCAAATGGCTCGCGCCTAAACGGCTCTGCGCCCAAATGGGTCGCGCCCAAACAGCCGCGCCTAAACGGTCGCGCCCAAACGGTCGCGCCCAAATGGGGCGCTCCGTGGAGCATCCTCTCAGTCCTTGTAGGCTTCGCGCAAGACTCCGCCGTCGACTTGTTGAGCCACGATGTGGGTGAACCGAATATACTGTCAGAGCCCAGTCGCGCCACCAAGGACAACAAGGCGATACTCCAGCGAGCGTGGGAACTCCTGGAACGCGGAGAGATTGACGAAGTTCAATCCATCAACCGAGTGAAATATAAGGTCGGCAGGAAGCTTCACTGGCGTAACCTTCAAACAGTGGATGCGGCGTTGCCGAGAGATCCTATATTGCAGCGTTGGCTGGAAGAGATGGACGCACTCTACGCTACGAGCCATCCCGCCAAGTCCGTGCATGCCGTCGACGAGGAGACCGACATAAAGCTCGGCCTCAATGTGAAGGAGGGCGAGTCGGATCTCACGGACGCGGCTTCTGATATTGATTCCACTTTCGAAGACCAGCTTGATCACCAATATCGAGGAGACGCCGATTCAGCGAGGTCATCTCTTTCGCCCGCTCCCGAGAGTCCTCGACTTGATCGACGATTCTACGTCTACGAGGATCATTCGTACGTGGATACGGCAGAATCGTTGGTCTCGCCCGCTTCGGGAAATCTTGGACTCGATCAGTTTTCCTGTGTCAACGGGCATAACTGTCACACCGATGCGGCAGGATCGTCAGCTCCTTCCGTCAAGATTCCTCGGCTTCATCCTTTCAATGGCTCAGGAGATCATCTGTACGCGCGGAATCCATCTCACTCGGAACTCCTAGTGAAGTTCACAGACGATAGCTCCGACCCTCGGATACCTGCCCTAACTTACGAAATGAATTCACGGGTTCAGGACGCTATGAGAGGGGAAATTGATGCGATTCTCGTTCGAGTGGGGAACTTGGCCGTGCATCGTCGCGATCTACGGACGCTCATCAACCCCAACTGGCTGAACGATACTATCGTCAATGCCTATCTGAACTTGATCGTCAGCCGGAGCAAGAACAATTGCGATCTGTTGAAAGTGTATGCCTTCAATACATTCTCTCTGCTCTGTTACGGGAAAGGGTACTTGAACGTCCGGGACTGGACTCGCAATGTTGACATATTCGCTTCCGACATTCTACTTGTTCCGGTCCACCGTGACTCCCACTGGTGCATAGCTATAATCGACATTCGAAACCAGAACATTATGTACGGTGACTCGCTAGGCGGCAAGAACGACGCGTGCTTGCAAGCATTGCTCGATTACCTGGTTCTAGAGATGTTAGACAAGCAAAGTCGAGAACTGGATCGCAACGGTTGGAAGTTAGAGACTCTGGAACACCTCCCGAGGCAAACAAATGGCTCCGACTGCGGTGTGTTTGCTCTCAAGATCGCGGATTACGCAGCTCGAAACGCTGCTGTGAATTTTACTCAAGCCGACATGCTGATTTCCGGCTAAGGATGGCTTTCGAGATTCTACAGTCGGCAATGATTCCCTCTGGATATGGAGATTGGTGAGAGTGAAGTGAAATAAAAGCTCTAATTCTCATTATTCTGATGGTGCCGTTCTTCTTCGAAGGGATTTTCGGGATGAAGTCGAAGCTTTTCAGGAGGGGGACGAACTATCTTATACCTCAGTCCATAGCTTCGACTCATGATGGAGGCGCCTCGAACGAATCCGTCCGTCGACGTCAGGCTGTCCGGATATACACTAGACCGCCAAGAAACTCGAGTTTCTGGTTTTATGGTTGCAATAACCCACAGGAAGCGAACACTCCGATCGATTTAGAGTGGTCAATACCCGCCGTAAGTCACCAGGCTCCCCCCGCCGAAATAGCGGGCTCGTTGCTCGGCCTTCGTGATCTCTCCGACCGCCCGCTCATGGCAGAAGAGAACGAATGCGTTGATCCATGTGAACTCTGGGTCTCAATCACCTGGTCACGTTCATTTAAGCCGTGATCTTCCACCAGTTACAGATCCACCTCCTTAGAGTTCTACCAACTGACTAGTGAATATTTCCATCAGAAATTCTGACAGCCAATGAACGGACAGGACACGCCCGCCGGGGAGACGGCAAACCTACGCCCCTCCCCGGACGACGAAGCATACTAAAGCAGCACACACGAAACACAGAGCACCATTCGATGTAGTGAGTAGTGACACGAACATCTCAGTGATACCAAGAGACCTACAGCTGAGGCTCTCAACAACCAGTAGTACAAACATCGTAGTGATCCGGACGTCTAGGCAACACATAGCCACTGGCCGAGCAAGCATTGACACAGACAACACAGTGGCACAAGCAATACAGTGACACCAGGGAAGTGACAAAAGTGAGGACACCACATCACAAAAGTGAGTAACTTGAACGGTAGTCGAACACAATAGACACATACACACATGGTAAAACGAAGGTGGACAGGGTACTGGGTGTATGTCACCGACAAAACAGACCGACGGCTTCTAAGATCTCTGGCGATCGAGGAAGCCGACGAAGAATGGCCAAAAATGTCCCAAGAAGAAAGAGAACCATACCACATGGCAGCAAGGGCACGAAACGGCCTACCAAACCCGTGCACCAGACTAGACTGTGAGAGCACACGAGAGCGAGCCACCAGGCTCAAAGCTAAGCTGGAGGCCCTCGAGGCCCGGATCAGGGACCTAATACAGCGGGGAACCCACAACCAGAAAGCGAAGCGCAGACGCAGTACACGAAGGATACAAAAGAGGGGAACCAAGTGAGCCCCTGGTGGGGTCCCGGAAGACATGCACAGCAACAAGGCACGGGAACTAAAGCGATAATCGCCTGAATAGGTCCCGAACCAAGGAAACACGGAAACCCCGACAATGCCAAAAACCGGAAAAGAAAAAACCGCAGACACTACAGGAACAAGACAAAGACCGAAATGCATCAGATGCTGGATACACGAACTAAGGGCACCCAGTCGAGAAAACAAAGACAAAAATGAGACGACCCATGCCCAGCCACGAGCAAAAAAAACCAGTGACAGGTAGTATCTTCGACACTACCGTTAGGCGTGAAAACGTCAGATACATCCGGTGTTCTTCTGCTTATATCGACTGACTGTCGGAGAATCTTCATGGCCATATAGAGTACATGCTGAGGAGTCACTCCTCGTCGATCACTTCTCCTAATTTCCGACATGCACATACTGTATGCGCTCGCTCGAATTCTATCCCCAGTAATCGATTGCATTTTCCGAGCGAGGCCTAAATATATCGCTGGGAATGACAGCTCCTCCGCGTGAGTGTCATATATTATACATTCCGGTCTTCGGTTCTGGCCTGGAGCGATGTTAAGGCAGTGTTCTTCATTCCATATCATCGTCTGTTGTCTTGAATGAATCAACTAAGACTCGGGAGCGGTACTCGCGTCTAAGCTTTCAATGACATCCTCGAATGGATCTAGAGGTTCGCCTATCGACTCTGAGTTTTTTGAAGACCGACCAATCAATCTTTATGTTGTAATATCTGTAGAGTGGTTGTTCGACTAAGTACCGTAGCCATGCGTGAATTGTGGACTTTTTAATGGAACCGCAGATGTAGGATGACTTGTGGACAATGTTTTTCCTTAAATTGACATTGAACGCATAGTCGTCATCGAGAGATCTTGGTAAGCATTGAACCATAGTGTCCACATCCGGAACATTGATCACCTGTCCAATTATGCCATAAGACCCCTCGTGTCGTAGTCTACGGACTCGCATATATGGAAGTCGCGGTGAAATTATTCTCTCGCACACAGGATGTAATTTGGGCAAGTCTGTGGGCTTCTGTGGGTATGTATATCCATTGATTCTACTGAGACTGGGTATTTTCTTATTCCTACAAATCTTGTAGCAATTGTGGCAGAGTCTGAAACTGACGGCATCTTCGTCCGGGAAATATGGTGCCAAATAATCTGCCATCTGAGAGGTGATCGGCTTCAAATCCCGTACAAACCAGATGCGATCGCAAACATCGCATTTGTGTCCAAATTCATTATCGGAAAACATGCGACGGAACTGAATTGTGGCACGTTCCCATAATTGAGTGTATGTGAAACATCGTGTCAGCTCAACTTCACCGTCAGAAGAATCGTTTCGACTTGGCTCGTCGATCGATGTTGAAATGTCATTTGATTCGTTTACTTCCCTGCGGGCATCGTCTTCCCCTCCAGTACCACGAGACACGACCGATGAAGTCTCTCGGCGACGCTTCCGATGTTCAGCTGACCTCCCAGCAGAAGTTTTCTTTCTTTTCACTGCCCTGCCCGCTGAAGCTTTCGCTCGCCGTATGTTTTGCCTTCTACTGGCGGTTTTCGGCCGCATCATGGAAAATTCACAATCTCAAATGATCAATGCCGATGACGATCACTAATCAAGAATGTAATGAACTCGACGGATTCCTCCCATGATAACGAAGAACCCTTGAGTGGCACTAGGTTTATGTCCCGAGTCCCGACAAAACACTCGATTTTGGAAGTATAATCTAGATGTTCGGAATTGAGCGCTCAATTAACACCACACATGATTCCCCATGATTCCCAGTCATCTCGAGCTGAACTCTTCTCACGAATTTCAAGATGATTCGCG